ACAATAACATTCGTATACAGGTAAAATGATAATAGTCTTTGATTTAAAATTCAAAAGACTTTGAAAAATTGTCATTATACTATTGCACGTGCTAGCATGTCTATTTTTATCAATATTGATGTCTATATAAGGTTAAACTATCATCAACAATCTTTAAAGGTCACCACCCATTTGATAATGAATTTGGAAATGTATACATCTGTAACAATGAACCCCTATAACAGAAGCCTTCTTGGCAGCGATTATACAAAAGAGGGAACGCTTTTAATGTCTAAAAATCGATTTTGTAAATGTTTCGGTACTTTTTCTATTAATTTGTATAGTTAGTTTTTGTTCTGAAGAACATTAAACCAGGTTTACAAATTTTACACTATAAAAAGAGTGAAGCCTGTTTAACCATTGCCGCCTTTTGTCGAGAAAGTTACAAAATAAAAGCATTATGTATGGGATTCAATAAATATTATTTACCTATAAATATATCATGTTTTTCTTCATAGCCCGAAATACAATACTCTGTTTTGCTACAATCAAAGCATATAAGATAAAACAAAAATAAACTTTATTAAAGTCTGTGTAATAATAGTGGTTGATTGCTTAACGTCCAGTCGCAAATATTTGATGCATGTTCAGGACGAGAACTAATTAACAATAAAAACAATTGGTAGGTCCTGTAATAAAGGCCGTCCGGGATGAAGTCGGGGAAATTTGGACTGCCACTGGAAAATAAGTGTATATTGGATGGGGACAGAAATGTAGCCTTGAAACAGACCACCTACGAACCCTACAAAAGAGTTGTTGCAGGGGTTTTTAACGTGCAAAGGGCGTGACAATCTCTCTACACGAGACATCGGATTTAACGTCCCCATTCTGATCGGACGTGGCTGCGAACTTGTACATCCAGGACAGCCAAATGGACACCCCATTTTGGCAATGGTTTTACTGTCGGTCGAAGGAAGACCAATGGTGACCATATTTCAATTTCCAAGCAACCCTTAGGGGCTTTAACAATAAGACGATATGGTACGATTGTCAATGGGACAACTACCCATCGGAGACCAACTAACATGAAATAAAAAGAAAAGATAGGTCACTGTACGGCCGTCAAGAACGAGAAAAAGCGCTCAATCCTCCGCATGACCGTGATATTACAGCAGAACATAATAACAAACTGTAAACTTTTGTTGAAAATTCTTGATTCATTAGAGTGACACAAATCACACAAAACAGCTATTATTATGTGTGGACAATAATTATGTAGCACTTTAATTATTTAACTTTGTCGCTTACTTGGAAAAGTCTAATGCAGTTGCAATATTGAATATTGACTTAATTAAAACAGCATATCAGTCAATCTTTTACCGAATGTATTGCTTGTGTATGTCGAATTGGTCGTTCATGAGTACAAGAAAACATCATGTTGCTTATTTAGATTTTAAGACGATGAAGACGTAAAGTATATTATTGTAAACTATGTGTCTATTGTTTTCGATAAGTAACAATCATCAATAACAGAAAAAATGCGAAAGCGATAAAATAAACATCAGTGAAGCAACTGTCAAAATCAAACAAATCGATTCAGTATATATCCAGTGGCATGTAACCAATAACAGTAAAAGTTGTCATTTTATAAAAATGAATGCAGAGAAAAACAATTTTGCAAGGGAGGCAAAAGCAAGAGGTTTAATAACACCCACCCTTAAAATGAATTATAAAATAAAATAAAATAGAATACATACTTCACATTTAAAATAATAATTAGGAATTGCAAAATGTATTAATAATGCTTATTGTTTATTCATTTGATTAACATAATTTTGAAAAAATATATCACAGTTTGAAAAACAAATCTAATATGTGCTGAAAAAGTATACGTCAATCAGAAATTTGATTCAATCCATAAAGGATATGGTACGAATTTCCAGGAAATATATAACAGATCTAAATTGTAATAATTGTAAAGAGGTCATTTCCGCAGAGGTCAATTTCTGCAAAACTCAGGTTTTCAAAAAATTACGAAACGATGCCTAAAATTTGCATATCGACACTGAACAAATATAACACGATAACAAATTTGGACTTCATTTGTAAACCATATTTAAAATAGTTTTACAAATAATTGTCAGTAAGCTGAAAAGGCGTTTCCAAGTTTTACATGTAATCGTATACAAGGCTATTATGCAAAGTATTTGATATATGTTATGAGTCCTTTTCGGTTTAGATATAAGGGGTGTAAGCTGTACTTTACCCCAAATCTTAGACATTTTGACCTATCATGTCTGTTTCACACATTGTTGTCAATATAATGGAATTCTGTCATACGAGTGAGAAGTTTAGTAAGCTATAAACCCGGGTTTAATCCACCATTTTCTAAATAAGGAAATGCCCGTACCAAGTGAGGAATATGACAGTTGTTTTCCATTCGTTTGATTCAAGAATAATTTATCTGCTTTAATTCATTATAAAATGTAGACTAATTCAAGACAAATCCGGACTTCCAAAACAACAGAAAATCTGCCTGTTTTCGATAACTTCAATTTCCGATAATGCGCATGTTATTTTTAAGATACCAGGAGGTCAATAATAAAACATAAGTCAAATCTAGAGGTAAGGCTCATTCGGTCATATGAAAATCGATAAAAAGAGGAAGGATCTTTGTTAACGACGAGTTGAATATATCTATGGTAATCTTTGATACAGTTATTTCAGAACGCTCTACCATCTAGTGATACATATGACAAATCAATACATGTCACATTTTAACTAATATATGGTTAACCTATATATCAAATAAAACATTTGTAAAAAAAATTAGTAATCACAGAGTACTAAATAAAACTTTATTTCAAATTACAAAAAACGTACATCATCTAGTCAGCACATACATTCAGACCTTCTAAACATTTGACTTTATGAATGATTTATTTTTGGCCATGGGGTTGTCAGTTTGTTTTCGATCTGACTGTCCCTCTGGTATCTTTCGTCCCTCTTTTGCCTTTATGAATGATAAAGAGTATAAGCAATAGAAAGTTAACTAACGTTTTTTTCGGTTCTGGCTACATTCATTATTGGTCTATGAAATGATTGTAAATCAGGAAGAATTTTTTAAATGAATTTAAAACTGTCGGTATTGTTGTTATGAAAACACATTGAATGCTTACATGTTGAATGAATGAAACCAACTTCCTACTGCGTGATAGACTTGTTCATAAATTTTAAAATGAAAAGGCCGGAAAAAGATAATGCTTAATCCAAAAATAACAATTTCTCATCAGTTGCAATTTATCTACAGAAACAAGCTTAATAATGTAATAGTATGATTTACCGGGTATGTAGCTTAGATATGATAATGTGCTGCATATATATCGCAATTTAAAATCATAGTGGAAATATGTTTTAATAAAAAAAATAAAAAGATTTAGTATAATTGCCAATTCAAATTCGAAATTATTGTATTTCTGTGTTTAGTTCGTTCTATTCATTAACTCTTGTTATTTTGTTTTGAAAAAAAATAGTCATTTTATCCTAAATGGCTACATATAAATTGATTCATTTATGGATTAAAAGAATGCATCGTAGTTCTTATCGAGCTTTTTGCTATGATTTGATGGTTTCTTTGTATGTCATATTCGGTTTCTGGTGTCTCAAACCAACACCGTATCACTGAGTCTGTGATGTATGTTTGCTCAGTTTATATAGTCCGTTTATCAATTTTGAAATTATTTCGAAACTGAAGTTTTAACTCCCTCAGGCATAGTTGACTTTAGATGGATTTTGGCTATTTGTTAGGTCCTTTTTCGTAGTATAGCTATTCAACTGTTCTTATACATCCTTGGCTTTCAAATATTTGGCATTTAACGTTCCTTATGAAGGTAAATCAAGAAAAGCGCTATGGACACATGAAATTTATAACGAGTTGTTTTCATTTTCTTTTTTTGGTTGCTGGATCCAATTATTGTCGCAGTTATATTTCATATACAAATAAGGAGATGTGGTATGATTGCCAATGAGAAAACTATCAATAACAATTCAAATACAGTGGATGTAAACAATTATAGGCAACCGTATGGCCTTCAACAATGAGAAAAAAACCCATACCGTGTAACCGACTATAAATGGCTCCGTCATGGAAAATATGAAACAATTCAATTGAGAAAACTAACGGCCTATGTCTGTTTAGGGTGCTCACCTAGTTTTTTCACTATAATTGAACTATAAACAACTGTCATACATGTACTAGTGAGAAGTTAAGCTAGCTATACAACTGGATTTAACCCACTATTTTCTTCGGAAAATTACTTTACCAAGTCAGAATTATGACAGTTGTTGTCTATTCATTTTGTTGGTTAGAACGTTTTTTATGGACTTCACCGTTGAATTTATTTGGAGTTTGGTATTGTTGTTAATACTTTTTGTGAACTAATTTGTTAATATCCAGGAAAATATTCCTTTCAAAATTTTGAATAAAATCCCAGCGTAATTATTAACATGAATCTTCACATTCTATACTATGTCTATGTATCTTTTAAGATTTACGACATTATTTATGTTTGACAGACCATTTAAAGGCAACAGTAGTATACCGGTGTTCAAAAGTCATAAATCGATTGAGAGAAAACAAATCCGGGCTACAAATTAAAACCGAGGGAAACACATCAATTATAAGAGGAACAACAACAACACTGAAGTGCAACAAAAACAAACGCCAACATACATAGAAACGAACTATTTGATAACAACTGCCATATTCCTGACTTGGTAAAGGACATTTAATATTTTCCTTTATATCCCTCTAAATATTTAAATAGATAAGTCATGCACATGCTCTGAAATACAGTATGCACTTATTATGCAAAAACGTATACTGTCAACAAATAGATTGATCTGTGACTTTGTGTCCGAAAAGTTTATGGTTTACTAAGAACACTTTTAACAATGAAAGTGAAAGACAAAATAGAAAATAATCCTTCTCTGCTGTTCGACAAATAATACAAGTATTAGACTATCTTTAGAAATTCTAAGTTTTATTATTATATTAGTTTCTATTGATTATTTATTAAAATATATACACATGCATAACGACAGGATAATGTATCATGGTGTTGTTCTTTCCTCTATTCATAGTACATGTAGTAATGTGTATCGCTGGTTTTAGGAACCAAGCCAACGTACGGGTTGAGCTGACTGCAGCGATCTTCATTTCCATTGTTATCAATGACAGTGCCATACGATCCATTTATAACTTGTAAATATGAGCTATTATCTACATTTATCTTGTTTCGTTTTTTACAAATGCAGATAAAGCCCAAGCAGCCACCAATCATAACTAGTATACCAGCTATTGCAGCCCAGAAGATAAGTACATCCAATTCAAAGACTGAAAAAAAAACACATAAATATATTATATATGTATATTAATGAACTTGTATGTTCATGTTCACATATATAAATGCATCAAAACCTACACACATCAGAACTAAACTGACTTCAAGTTAGTACTGTAGGGACGTTTTACTGAACTAAAAACGAGTGCCTCGAATTTTATTTATATATAATTACATAATATCGATAAACAACGAGGCTAAAACCACACATGCAGTTTTAAAAAGGAAACTGTTAAACTCAAATAAAATAGAACAAGTCATTTTCTGTAAGTTAATAATAAAATAGGTACGAACGGAAATGTGTCTGAATTAATTGATGACCTCCTTAGAATTTGGATCCGGAAAGCGCAATATATCTTTTATCTATGTGAATCACAAGTAACTAATCTTAATGAAGATATATTGTAACCAGAAAAAAGAAGGATATAATAAGTTTAAAAAGTAATTTCATGTTAGAAATACTACAAAATGTCCGACCAACAAATTAGTAAGCAAAATTGTTACCTGTCATTGATTCGGAATAGTTTTCCACCTCTGAACTCGTTGTATAATTGACATCTCCTACAAACATAGTCAAACATTAGTTGTGTTATAACATAAACGGTACAAATTTAACTGCACCAGATGCACATGTCCACATGAAATGCCTAGTCTCTGTTGCTCGAGGCTTAATACTTGAAAATCCAAAACAAATTAAACTAAAAACGAAATACCTTCGTTTCTTGATTCATTACGTTTCGCATCTGATTTCATGAGATTTCATCACAAAGTGCTTGTGCAGCTTTTTTTAGTAAGAAGTAAAAACAAAACTCATCAAATTACCAGCTTTTAATTTTGAAAGCCAGAAGCACGTTTCATCTATAGAAAACACAAACTTACTCCTCAAATCAAGCAAATTAAAATGCCAAATAAAGTACAAAGTTGAAGAGAATAATTGTACCATGTTTTGAGGTGATGTCAATTACTGTTGTCTATGTGGTAAGGTAAAAACAGAATACAAACAGTTTTTAAAGGTCTTTCTATACAAATATGTGATGACTAAGACAATTGGCGACCGAAAACTGTAGATACAAAGGGAACAAAACATATATGAGTCTTGATCAATTGAAAAAACCCTGAATGACGACAAAAAGACATACAAGTCTGATCATTGCAAAGTGTGAAACCCAGTTAGTTCCATTTGTAAATGATTGTCTCGAAATACCTACCGTAAAGTTCAAACTTTGGAACGCATCCTTTCACGTGATCACATCTATGTTAATAAAAAAAAACATTGGAATTTCAATATACACGAAGCATAATATACTAGCATGTTCGCGTTTATTATACTTGAAAACTTAGCATGATATAAACATTACAATTGCTGTCTTTCCCAGAGAGATAAACGAATTAAACAGGATGCGGAGTAAAAACTGCTCACCCGTTTAAACCACCTGAGTTTAACCCCGGTTTTTGTTAATCATTGTTTAATTTTCTCTGTGTTGTTTGTTGTTTTACTCTAACGGATAGTTATTGTCTTTCTCTTCGGATTATAAATTTTGAATGGCCCTTTTGGTATCTTTTCTCCCCTCTTTTTAAAGAAAGACTGATCTAAACTTGAAAAAAAAATTGGTAAAGGATGTCGATTTAACACTGTTATAAACATGGTAACAAGTTTACATATTCTTTTTAGTATTTACATTGATTTTATTTTTTGTAAAATTGAAAGATAGCTAAATATATATTGCTATATATGTACAGTAATTCAAACGTGTTGTCCTACATCCAATCGGTACTGTTTACTTATATTTTGGTATTGCACAAGGTCATGTTTTTTTCAGACTGTTATTGATAGCTTTATAATATATCTGGCTCATGTGTACTGACTGTTACTTAAGTCTGGATTTATTTATTAGTTGTAGTTTTTTCTTGACTAGCTTTCAGTTACGGCGTGTACTCATATCTCGGTGTTTAGTTTCCATTAATTTAATGTTATTTCGGTTTGTGCCGATATTTCGAGTTAATCTTATTGCTACTGATTTTTATAGTTTGTTCTTCTACTGTTGCCTTTATTCGTTCTTATGAGGTGTTGATACACCACTGTCCAATGTCAAGGGAGGGTTGAGCGCTCAAAAATGTTTAACCCCGCCAGTCAAGAGCGTGTAGTTCATTGGTTGTCTTAGGTTCATATTTATCATATGTGTGTTTAGTGTTATATATTATGCCATTGGAATTGTGTTTGAATTGTTTCATATTTTTCATGTTGGGGCCGTTATAGCTGACTATAAATATGAGCTTTTTCATTGTTGATGGCCTAAAACAATTACAATTGCTTACATTCACATCATTTGTAAGCTGTTAGATAGTTGTGTTATTGGCAATCACATCACATCTCCATATTTTATTTTTTATATTTAGCTCATATTAATTAAAATAGAATTGTGCTGACTTGAAATTAAAGTGCTCATATATAAAAAAATTAATGCAGGTATTTACAAAGAAAAGAAAAAATTTCGCAAATCAAGGGGACAGTAAGGGCTCACGAAACAATTTGTTTTTGCAAATTAGTGTAGTAATAAATAATGTACTAATGTAATAATTACTTCGTTTTAAAATCATTGCAGCCGATTATGACGATCATCGTGTGTGATTCATGTCATATAGCCTTTGAACCATATCTAATTCGACTGATATGATAAAAAAATGGTTTTTAAACATGGTTTTTATGTTACAATATCAAATTTCCCGTGGTCCATGATCCTTTTTATTTACTAGTCACATGAATATGTTTTTACGAAAACCATGGGCTGAATCCTCACCAAATCGTCGTCTTACAGATGAAAACATTAAATTACGTAAGATATATGATTAGGTATGAAAAGAAAAATCAATTATTCATTTTATTCATAGTTTTCTTTACCGTTTTCAATCTCATTACAGATGCTACGTTCTAAACATCTTTCTCCAAATCTGTTTTTCTGACAATGGGAACACGGCTTTCAACTTATTGATACAAAACCAATTTTGCACTCTGAAAATGGTTGAATGAAATATTATTGTGTGTCCCAGTTTTAAAACATTTCGAAAGGTATGTTGTAACTTTCTACATGAAATTTTGAAAAGTGTACTTAAGTTCACAGGTTGAATGCTAAAATGTGGAAAAATTGGGTGAGTTGAGATGTCCATTGGATACACCAGTCCAAAAAGAAATGACTTAAAAAAATGTGTCCCCTAAAGTTGAAATTGAATAGCTTGTATTCCTGATTCCTGATTACAATACCAAAATGAAAAGAACTAGTTGTATAAGGAAAAAAGAAACATTATCTATCACTTGTCATGGCATACATCGATAATTTTGCGAAAAGCCAGTCTCTAAAATTTGTACCATTCGAGACGTTCTAAATTGAAACCTTAGCAGCCAGTTTAAAACTTCACATACGTCTGAAATAATTAAATCACAAATCAGTGTACGATACTGTAGGTGAAACTGCTGTGTGTGATTGCAGCTATGCTTATATCTTCAAAGGGTAGTTTAATGTACCACGCAAATGGCTTTGCATAGCCATCAGTCCCTGTGATATTACTCAACAATTATTCATTATAAATTACATTATGTCTCAATAAACAATGTATCTTATTAAAATAACTCAAACAACTAGGAAACCTTTAATGTAAAAGGATATCCTACATTATAGTTATAAACTTGTCAGTTTTAATTGTTCAATTTAATATGAGTTGATGCCATGACAGGCAACTTGTTAGAACAGCATGGACATTTGTTGTATTAAAACAGTCATATTGTTGATTCGTTTCCGAATCATGATTGATATATTGAATTCAATGAGCTAGTTAAAATATTAAAGTATTCTAAACTTTTAAATTGTCAAAACTATACCTTTCTATGTCGTAACAAACGTTTAGACCTTTTAAACTATTCCCTATATCAATAAAACAAAGTATTATAATTATTTAAATAACTGACATCGTTTTAAAGTCGACAAGGACATGATACGCAAACTGTATCAAATAACCCAAAAAGTCGGAAGTATTGTTACATGTATTCCTAAAAAAAAAAAACATGTCATCATACATGATATAGCCAATGGAAAAAATACAGATAGGATGTGAATGGAAACAACTTCCGTATGATAATAATGTACTCGTTGATTGAATTTAGCTTGAAAAAAAATTAGTGAAGGCATATTGAAAATGTTATAATTATTTTTCAAAATATTGTCGTCAATTAGATTCATCGTTGATTTGTTGAAAAACGTACATATTTTTCTTTTCTTTTTTCTATATCGCAAAAGCTGCACGGTGTTCTATCCCAACCCGCTTGTTGATATGCTGTTGTGTATTTCTGACAAGGGATCAATCATTTCAGATATCCGAGGAGTTTTGAGATAACAGTATATATTAAGAAAGGTAAAACGTGTTTGACCAATTAAGTAATAGAATATTAACTAGTGAGAAAATTATAAAGCATGAAGGTCAAAATCCACAAAAATATTTTTAGGGTGTCTTAGCATACTAGGCAGTTAGTCTAGATATTGTTTTTTTTTATTTTGAACATAGGGTAAACTGCTGTATATAGAAAATGAAAAGATATGGAGTAAATGTACATGGAACAAAATCGCACACAGTACATAGAAAACATAGAAAATTATCAATGAACAGGGCTTTTATTTATGTTCTTCATCTTGACAGTTGATGTAGGGTCTTCAACAATAAACGAATCATTCATACCCTACAACAAGGTCAAGACGGCCCCTAGCTAGTATGTTCACACAGAGCTTTTACAAATTAAACAATACACATTATGATATAATAACGACTTTAGTCTGAGAGAAACAAATGAATGGTAGTAGATATGAAGTATAACTTAACGACACATCAACACGACTACACAAAACAAGATAATTATATATAGGCATGATAGAGATTAACAATTGAAAAGTGTCTTTTTATCAAATCAAGTTCTGAATTATCTTATAATAACTACCATTGCCTTTTATCAGTATCAAGCGCAACAATTCAAATTCATTCTAATGTGATTGCAAAAATAAATCCTTTATTGAAATATATGAGAAGTCATATCAAAACATTTTCATTTTGTCTTCTAGGTCATGAGTTTATATATAGAGGTATAAACCTTGTGGATTCCCATTTAATCTAAGTCATACGACATTATATACGATGTTTGCTTACTGTTATCAGTCATCCATACACTTTTTATATACCGAATATAGAATAAGATACACTGCTTAGATACCGGAATAAAACAGAGGAATATCAACAATGAGAACTATAGTAACATTTCTATACAGGAAACAAAACACCCAGAAGTTAGATCGAAGTTTAACAAACAAAATCTATATGAAATGGAGTTCCTTATTAGAGATTTACAATAAGAGTAGGAATCCGACCCGAGTATGTATACGAGTCAGAGTAAAACAGTTTAAATGATAGGGGCGATCTCAAGATAATAAAATTATTGTAAAATGTGTACTTTAATCACAAACGTTGTTTTTGGCGATTGACAAAATAATGATTACCGCAAACTTTAACCATGGCTTACATTGTGTGACGAGGAAGCCCCTAAAGTTTAAAACATTTCAAATCGCCAATAACGTGTTCAACGGAGACTCGGGAGTCTGTTAAGCCTCCTACACTTTCTCTTTTTTTTTTGTTCTGGCTTTCTGGTTATCGGCTGTCGTGTATGGCTAATGAAATAATTCAACCTCTTTCTCTCGACAAGTACCAGAAGCCACTTACCCCTGCTTAAGCAGTAGAGGAACCTGAACTTCAAAAACTGGATAATGGTCCTGAAGACATAAAAGCAGGCGATGCTACAGCGAAAGCAGAAATGCCACAAATATTGTTACAGCAAGAACAGCAGATTATATTCATGATGCTCTTGTTAATCTTGACGCTACAAGACAAGAAACCCCCTACCGAATCATACTCATTATGACGTTTGACTGAGACTGACGACATTTCTAATACACGTCACTGCACAATTTCAGATACACGTCACTACACACATGAACGATTTAGATAGAATGAAATATGATTGCACTCACGCGGGAAAATAAATGTACTCCTTATACACTACCAACAATTTGCCTAACGTTTACATGTACATTAAATGCCGCTATATAAACAGTACTTTCAGGAAACATAAATAATCAGTACATTAAAAGCCGCTATATTTACAGTACTTTTAGGAAACATCGCTAATCAGTACATTAAATGCCGCTATATAAACAGTACTTTTAGGAAAC